ATAGGAAATGCTGAATTTCCAGCTTGCAGTTACACCCAGCATGATACAACAGTCTGTAGAGAACAAATTTCTTAACACGGGTACTTGCCTCACTGCATCAAAATTAACATATCAAAATCAAGTTGTGTATTAGAGAAAGCATGGCCTCACAATGTCATACTAAGTAAAAATAAAAGGAAAACAAACCTAGAATGGGTCCTCAAGAGTTTCATAGAGGAAATTTAGTGTAATTAGATAACCTTCCTGATTAAAGCGCAATCCAACAGTAAGAGAAAGCAAATGAAAGATTGAGTATGGAAAAAAAAATTAATTTAGGATTTGAAAATGTAACTCTTATCATTTTCTCGAAATATTGTTCTAAAAATTGGTGTTGGAAAATGCTCTGTTTTCAGTTTTACTACTTCACAATAGCCCTGAAAATCCTGCAAATCCTTGATGATGGAAGCTCACCAAATTCCAAATGTGAAGACCCCGGAGTGAGCGCTTGTTTCATCCTGCAGATAAAACTGTTATATGCTCTCTAATTAAACATCACGAACAAAAATTAAATCAGCATTGAGAAAGCATAACTAACCATTCATCAATTTCTTTCAACTACACTGATAATGCCATTCTTCCTCTCTTCCATAACGCAAAATGCTACACTACAAATAGAAAATTACATGCCTTGGAAGAAAAATTTCTGTAGAAAATTGAAGTATGAAAAGTGGGATTATGACCTTTAAGAAGTACGGTACTTTGAGGCCTGTCAAGTTACCAGAATGATAGAAAATTCTGTAGACAGAATTTAATGTCTGGTTTCGAAAAGCTGAAAGAGAAGAAATGCTTAGTAGATATAGGGAAGTTTTGGTCAAGCAAAGGAATGCAACTAGAACCTCAATCTGGCAACTTCTGTGATATATATATCATTTTTAACCTTGATTCTTCAGCAAATTCAGGACATCTTGCCTCACTGAATCAAAAATAACATATCAAAATCAAGTTTTATTAGAGAGAACATGGTTTTCCAATGTTCTAAAAAGTAGAGAGAGAACTAGAAGCAAACCTGGAAAGAGTCAACAAAATTTTAAAGAGGACATCCAGTGTAATTTGATGAAATGAAGAAGAACAGAAAGCAGCATTGAGAAAGCGTAAACAACCATCAATCAAATTCTTTCAACTATTTTCTGATGTCATTCCTCCTCTCTTCCATAACGCGAAATGCTGCACTGAGAAAATAAATATTTGATGAAATTTGTAACTATAAATAGAAATCTATATGCCTTAGTTAAAAGTCAAAAAGAGGTTAAATATTAACAGAAAACTGATGGATGAAAAGTGGGGTTATGATCTTCAAGAAGTAGGGATACACAAGATACTTCCTTGTCTGTCAATGTTGTCCAACATGATACAAAGTTCAGTTAACACAATTTGATGCCTTATTTTACTAAGATCAAGCAGCGCTAATGTCTTAACATAGGTAACTTTTGGTCAAGAAAAAGAATGCAACAAGAACCTCAATCATAGGTAACTTCTTAATACATCACATTTCAACCTTGATACTTGTGCAAATTCAAGACATATTAAACTTTCCTCTCTGCATCAAAATTAACATATCAAGATCACGTTTAACAGAATAGAACATGGATTTTCAACCATTATTAATGCTGTGATGTTCAATCTAGTTTAAACATCCAAAAAAGAAAAAAAAAAAAAGAGAGAGAGAACTGGGAAAGCATGACCAATTTTATTAGTCCTCTTGCATATATAATCTCCTATATTTATCCCTTCTCTCTTCCATATTTGTTCTGGGGTAGAAATTTGCATGCCTTAGTATAAAAAGTAAAAAAATTGCATAAACATTATCAGAAGATTAATCAATGAAAAGTTGTGTTATGACTTAAAAGTATGGACATCTCCCATAGAAAATACTTCCAGGTTTGTCCCTTTTTTTCAGCATGATAGAAGCTCTGTAGATGAAATTTAATGTGTTGTTTGAAGAAATTTGATGGAATTTTAAACTTGATTCACTGCATCAAAACTAACATGAAAAGGTCAAGTTTGGTTAAGGAGCAAACTAGAAGTATTAAGAAACAAACGTACCTCACTAAACTATCCTAGTAATTCATAGAGGGAATTCTATGAAATTGGAGAAGCTCCCTGACATAAGAGAAAGGCATTGACAGTTATTTAACAGGGCAGTTCAACATCATCCTTTGAACTTGTTTTGGGAAAATGCTCTGTTTAATTGTTTTACTTGATGAAAAGAAAATACTTTATAGAAAACTCAAAATATAACATAGTGCTTGAGAAGAAAATGATTAACTCTTCCATTTGAACTATTACATAATTTTGGTTCATGGAGTTCTTCAAAAAGCAATAAATTTTGAGAAGTTGATGAAGGAGTTCTTTTTCAAAATTTAATATATCACTAATTGATATTAGTAATAAATTTTAAAGTTCCCGTATAAAAATTCAGAGAAAAAACAAAATCTGAGCATGATGAGATTACATGGACAGCTAAGACTACACCAAGAGTATACTGGAGATGTTCCAAACAGATGGAGATGCATCGCTGATTATTTCAACAAGTACTTTGATCAAGAGAGAAAAAATAAACAAATTATTAAAGTGATGAATTATTCAATCACAAATTGGATGAAACAAAAAGGAAAGAAAAAAAAATTTACCTTTCATTTTTCCCTTCAAGGGTGGCCTAACATAGGACAATCCTCAATGGATATATCTAATGTTGTATTCTGAACAAGGTGGTTTGGTAGTGCTTTCAATTTGGGGCAGCCATCAATTTTCAAAGAAAAAAAACCATTCAATCAATAGCAAAAACTTAAGTGTTTTCAATGGGTTCCATTCCCAAAAATTCATTACTCTTTCCGCACTCTCCATATGCTGTATCTCTAAAGATTCAAGGGATGAAAATTTTTTCAAGAAAGGTAAATGCTTACAGTTTATGCAATGACAAATTCTTAAGTGCCCGAGGTTGGTTAAGGACATCATGCAGTCGGCGAAAATAGTGTTGCCTCTGTAATTCCATTGCCGTAATTTCTCTACATTCAATGGTGGATGTAAGATTTCAAGAAGTGATTTGTCATCCTCATGGATTAGAAGAGTTTATGTTCATTCCTTGTAACAAAAAATGCTGTGATATACTTTCAAATTAAACATCAAGAAATGAAGAAAGAAAAGAAAGCAGCATTCAGAAAGCACAACCAACCATTGATCGAGTTCTTTTGACGCTATCCCTCCTTTCTTCTATATCGCAAAATGCTTCACTGAGACAATAAACATTTGAAATCTGAAACGATAAATAGAAAGTTGATGTATGAAAAGTCTTAAATAAACATTTATGACCTTCAATTTTTATAGATAACAAATGTTTTAAATCAGGAAACTTCTGGTCAAGAAAAAGAATGCAACGAGAACCTCAATCTGGAAACTTCTTCATACATCATATTTCAACCTTGATTCTTCAGAAATTTCATTATATCTTAATGCTTCGCCTCTGCATCAAAATTAACATATCAAAATCAAGTTTATTTGAAAGAAGAAGGATTTTCAATGTACCCACTAAGTAGAGAGATAAGCAAGGAAACAAACCTATCTCAATGAGTCATCAAAGGATTTCATAGAGGGAATCCACTGTAATTTGAGAAGCTCCCTGATAAAAGAGGTATCCAACAGTAAGAGAAAGCATATTATAGATAGAATCAGTTTTGAATAAAAAGTAAAGATTTTACTGAACCAGTAATGATGCTGTGATGTGCGGTCTTGTTTAAACATATAGCCCAATATGTTTGCGGTTGTAAGGGGCATAACTAGGAATTTTTTCTTGACCGGGCTAAATTTTCAAAAATCTAAGCCTAGCCCACTCTATGTTCAGCCCTTGGTGGCTGCAATGGATTGTGGATGATGATGGTGTTGGAGTGTGCTGGGTGGGGGAGAGGGTGTGCTTGGATGGGGAAGGGGGCAGTTTGGTGATAGAGGTTGTTTGGTGAGTGGGTGGGTTAATGTTACTGGGCATAGGGAAGCGAGGGTATTAACGTCATTTAAGACGTCTCTATCAAAACTAGCGGCAAAACACTGACGATACTGTAGGGGGTCTTCAGTTAATATCAATACCACAAGGGCTTTTAATCACACAAACTTCAGGGTGTTTTACTTGATGATAAAAGAAAACAAAGTGTATTTATGAATAAATCAAAGAACTTAGGAAGATCTAACCATCTTGAGGTTGTCTTCAACAATCTTCTCCTCCTTATACAAGACTGGTGATAATGGATGGCCACCATTATACGGAAGAGTATATGGGAGATGTTCCAAACAGACGGAGGGGCATTGCCTGTTCAAATTCTTCCTTTGTATCAATTCATCATATCATGATCATTTGATGCTAAAACACACACTGTGACATAAAGATGCAAGGATTAGTAGTATTTAAAGGATTACAAATGACAGTGAAAATGTTAATTCTAAAAAAAGAAGGAAGTAGGAGATGAGAATATAGATGAGATATGCTACTCACCAAGAAAATGTGAAAACCACAAGATTTAGCACTTGTTTCACCAGGCCTGTCGTTTTTTTCCAGTAGGATACAAAGTTCTGCGGAGGAAATTTGATGGTTGGTGTCAATATGCTCAAAGAGAACAAATGTCTAAACATAAGAAGATAAGCGTCAAAGAGACCTCAAAGATTTCAGAGAGGGAATTCAGCGTAATTGGAGAAGCTCCCAGACAAAAGATAATCCAACAATTAGAAACTTAAAATGCTAACTAATCTCAATACCCATAAACAAGATATGACCGTCATGAGATTGTCTTCAAGTAAATCAGCAATGACGCATCTATGAATGGAAGAGCTTGTTGGAGATGCTTCAAACAGATGGAGGCGCATTCCTGATTATTTGCATCAGAAATATTCCGTCAAGCTCTTCCAAAGGGAGGCAAATGCTTACATTTTATGCATTCATGGAGTAGTAAGTCCGTGAGCTTGGTTAAAGACATCATCTAGTTGGGCAAAATAAAGTTGCCTCTATAATCAGCTAGCAATAACTTCTCCAAATTTAAAGGTGGTTGTAAGATTTCAAGAAGTGCCTCCTCATCCTCATTTATTCTCTCTCCTCCATCTTTTCTGAAATCCAAAGACAAATGAAGGAGGTTTTTCCGATTCTTGAGCTCTAATCTTCTAGCCTCATCCACATTTGATACATTTCCCAACTTGTGTATGCACAAATCATCTCCATATAGGTTGATGTTTTTCAAATCTTCAAGGCTACATGCTTTGTCATCATTACTATCAACTCCACTCACAACGAACAACTTTAAGGTTTGGAGATTAATCAATTTTTGAATTCCCATTGGGATGTATCTTAATGACCAGACCTCATCATTTTCTAGATGCCTTAGATTTATTAATTTTCCAAACCCTTGAGATAATTCTTCAAGTTTTTGACAAAAACTAATGTCTAAAGTTTGCAAATTATATAATCCACATAATTCTTCAGGAAGTTTTCTCATTTCTAATTCTTTCAAATCAAGATATCTCAAATGTATCAATTTTCCTATCTCCTTCGGAATGTTGTCAATATTATTTCCAAATTGCCTCACTCTTCCACCAATACGTAATGCCTTTAAACATGTCAATTCATCAAATAATTTTGGTATGATATTACAAGGCAATGAATGCTTGAAATCTTCAAGATCACGTAAGAAACTACGCAACCTTTTGAGACTACAAATTGAATCAGGAAATGGAATCCCTTCATCAAATGTTATCATCAAGTGATAAACTTGCTCATGATAAGAGTTTATGTTTGGCTCTTTAAAACCATGAACTTATATGTGGAGACATTCATTCTTACTCAGGAACTGAGCAAAGTCATGTACTAAATCGTGCATCTTACATTCAAAGATATTATTGTGATGGTCTTTTTTAAACTCTTGGAAGAATGAGCATGATGCTAAGTAGTCAAAATACTCTTGACCAGCTATCTCCATTACTTTATTTCCTTCTTTGAGATAATCTTGAGCCATCCATAATTTAATCAAATAATCTTTTCTTATGTTATGGTCTTTCGGAAAGATGGCACAATATGTGAAACATCGTTTTATCTTAAAAGGCAAATCATTATAACTCAATAGTAGAGGACCAAAAATATCTTTTTCACACTATTCAAGTTTCCACAAATCACTATCAAAAATATTTTGCCACTCTTATTTAGTTTTTTTAAAGCGCAAAAGACTACTTATAGTCTTTGCAGCAAGAGGCAAACCCTTGCACTTTTTTAAAATTTGCTTGCCGATCTCTTCTAGATATTCACACTCCTCTTTAGACCTACCAAAAAATGCTAATTGGCTAAACAACAACCAACATTCTTCACCAGGCAATTCTTTGACAGCAATAATGTCAATCGATTCCATCATACGTGCCATTGATTCCTTACGTGTATTAATTAAAATTTTACTACCATAGAGACCATTCTTCAAGCAATAATATAATGGCTCCCATTTTTTGTAGTCATCTAACCACACATTATCCAAGATAAGCAAAAATTTCTTTCCAGCAATAGATCTTTTAATATGCTGAAAAAGCGATTCCAATTCACCTAAATTCTAAGAAAAACCTTCTAGAGCCTCAATGATTGCTTTGGCTATCCTATATTCATCAAAAGGTTCTGACACACACACCCACATTACTTGATCAAAGTTGTTTATCACCTTATTGTCTTTAGAAGCAAATTGAGCAAGAGTTATCTTGACGATTCCCCCCATCCCTATAATAGAGATGATATGGGGGTGGTGCTCACTACTCTCACACAACATATATACTAAAGTATTCTTATCCTCAACTCGACCATATATATTGGACACATCAATAAACGAGGTACTTTGTACTCGGTCGGACTTCCCAACACCTCTACTCACCTTAAAGTTATACATATCTTTTTGTTTCTCAATGTCATCTAAATGTTCATTGACTTCCTTTATTTTTATTTCAATGTCATGAAGTAAGCTCATTTGTTTGAATGAAAAGCAAGAGGAGGGAAAGAAGAAACAAACCTTCTTCTTAGGAACAGAAGCAGCTCCCTCAATTTGCTGTTTCAACATGGCGTAGTTCCACTCATCCAACACATCATCAATGTCGTAGGATGTGTGTTTGAGCCAATCTAACCAAAGTCTTACAGTTTTCTCCTTCACTTGTCTTTCCTCTACATCAAAGACCACTGCTTCAATAGCTTCAAGATTGCTCGTAAGCTTTTTGACTTCTTTGTCGACACCAACAACTAGCTTCACCTCCTGTAGTATTTGTTGACCAATGATTGAATTCAGCTGCCCCAAGACACCGGAAATAATTGTTTCAGCCATGATATAAGAGATGGTAACTGTTTGAATGATAAAAATGCTAGAGAGAATTGTGAGATATGAGATTTGCTTGTAAGTGTGAAAATGTTTATATGTTTTCAATTCTTTATAAAAAGTTGTAATTCAAAGAAGGAACATAAAAGATGATGTGAGTCGAATATGCTTGGCCCAACACTTGGTTTTTCTCAGTCACCAAGCAATCACCATATGATGTACTAGCAATAATTAGGATGCTTTAAAGGTGGTTAAGGCATGGAATATAGCTTTATTTCCTTTTGGTAATTCATTTTCATTGCTTTGTTTTATTCCCATTTCTCAAAGTAAGAATCTGATGCGAGAGTGGAAAGCAAGTAAATGGAGATCAAAAGAAAGATATTAATTCTAATTTATGACTTAAGAAAAAAATTAATTTTGATACTTTCCATAAGCAACAAGATAAACCCTCAAAAGGACCTCAATTTTACCAACTACCCTTAAATTTCTAATTCTATTACATTACTGATATGTAGCTTGATTACAAAATAAATACTGCCCAAGAAAGAATCAATACTGCACATGAAAGAAATTACAAATCAAAAACATGATTCTGAGATGCGCTTCTGTCTAAGCATCAAGAAGTGAAAAAGAATAAAGATTATTAGTGAGAATGCATTATAAACCATTAACTCCATATTAATTGAGTTATTTCGACTACTCTTCGAACGTCGTTCTTCTTCTTTTCCTTAATGTAAAATGTCGCACCGAGACCATAAATGTTTAGCAAAATTTAAAACTAGAGGTGTGTTTGGTTGGGGGTAATCCCTCATCATTGAGGTAATGTCATCTTATATTACTTGATTACCACGTTTGATAGTCAAGTAATATAAAATTCCAATAATCTTCCAAAATCAATAGTAATTACTGTTGGTTATATAAGGGATAATCTGATTACCTCTATTCCTAGTTAGTAAAAACGCGTATTATACGCAAATTATACGGACAGCCGTATAATTCGCGTATAAAACGCGCGTATACGTATTTTATAAAATCTGTCGTATAATTCGCGTATAATAAGGTTTCCCATATAATTCGCGTATAATTCGCGAATTATTCGCGAATTTTTGAAAAAAAAAAAACAAAATCTCACACCCCCAAAACGACGTCGTTTTGGTGGGTTTATACAAAAAATAAAAATAGATCTGGTTCAGTCCTCCTTCTTCAGTTCTTCGACAGTCAGCAGTGCGCCGCAAACAACCATCAAATTCACCTTGAAAATGAACAAATCCATGAAAACATTAAACTAATAGTGAGAGAGGGAAAACAAGAATGAAGAGAAAGAAGAAAAGAAATTAGAGGAGGTGGCCCTGCTAGAGTTCGTAGTGGTTTCGAAAGATGATGAAGGTGGGGCGCAAGGGTTGTTAGATTTTGGGGATGAGGGAAGGTGCGTAACCCCTTTAGTTTAGACTGAAATCTTTGTCTTTTTGAGCGGCAAAGCGAAGAGCAAGCAAGGGAACAAATAGTACTGGTAAGTTTGAAAGCCTGAAAGAATATTGGGGGTGGAGGATTTTGTGGCGGTGGGGTGTGGGAGAAGGATAAAACGGGCTGGGGGAAATATTGGGGTTGGAGGATTTTGACTTTGTGGCGGTAGGGTGTGGGAGAAGGATAAAAGGGCTGGGGCAATTTTATTTTATTTTTTATATTTTTTTTTTTAAATTTGATTTTTTTTCTTAATTATTAAAAATGGTTATTTATTAATTTATACATTTTATTTTATTTTATTTTTATAAAACTTAACTTTTCTTTTATTTAATAACCTGATTTTTAATAAAAATATAATTTTTAATAGAAATTGAAGATAGGAGTTTAAGTGACTAATTTCCAAGTTAATGAAGGTAATTACCATCTATTTGTATTTTAGGGCTGTAAGTAATATTAACTTTATAATAAAATTTGTGCAGACTAGACTGACAAGAATGTCTTTTAACCATTAAAACTAACGTAAGAATTTTAATAATGGGTGGGAAAATGTAGATTCGCCAAACTTTGGGTTGAGAAAATGTCATTCAGCCTATTAAAATATGTGACTCTCTATTATTTAATTGTAAAATAAAAATTATTTCTTATATTCAAATAAATAAATATACTATATAATCCAATTTTAACCAATAAATAAATATACTTCAAAATAGTTTGATTATAGTACTAGATTAATTTTAACCCTCTTATCCCAAGGCCTGAAAAATAGAAGAGGGCTCATCACTCATCAGTAGCGTTAAAATTATCACATCTCATAACCCAATTCTGTTATGACTTATGTGTTTAATTTGACACTATAGTTGAATCTTGGCTAAATATTATGTTTGAGTCTGGAGACTATAATTTGAATATCAGTTATATATTGTGTATTTGTGTTATTGGTTAATTGAATACTTTGCATTTGAAATGTTATGTTGATTTTAACCAGGTAGTCCATAAAAGTGTTAAAACTAAGATTGATATTGCCGTATTTTTCAAAACGTATTATTGACAATACACCGTATTAAACCCGTATACACCCGTACCGTATTTTTTCCGTATCCGAATTTTATGACCGAATTTTTATAAACGTATTTTTTACCGTTTACCGTATTATACCCGTATAATTCCCGTACCGTATTTTTGCCGTACCCGTATTTACTAACTAGGCCTCTATTTTCTTAGGAATTTTAAGATTATTTGGAAATCTTTATTTTTTTTACAATTTTACCCTTCACTTTTGGACAATAATGCCCTTATTTTAAAATTAATTTACATGAACCTTGCCATTACAATTTTATTCCAAAACAATTAAAGTTCTAGACAGTAATGCCTTTGTTTTTAAAACAATTTACAAGCCACCCAAGAGGACTACTGGCAACTGACCACCACCACCGACCACTGGCATCCACCATCAACCAACATTGCCGGAATGGCGCATGATCGGTCGGATATTGCTAGCCATGCACTGATCTGGTTGACCTAATGGCCGTGGATCTGGGATTTTTTGGGTTGGGTAGCCATTGATATTAAGCCTGATCTGGGCTGATTCCGACATCACTGTCGACCCCAACCACCACCATCTTACTCCTCTCCTTTTCTTCTTCAAATCCCACCACACCCCATCACCGGAGCTACCCCTACTCGCTGACAAAGCCCACTGTTTTTCCACACAATTTCATTTTTCTTGGCGCTTTTTCGATTATGTTTTCTACCTAGAAATCACCCCCACTTGCACCGATCGACTCCCCTTCACCTCGTCTTCAAAACCCCCTCAAAGAACATCTTCGTTGCATGACAACCGACGTTGGTATAGGTAGCGAGCAATGGCCTGCGTGGGTGGGGTGTTTTTGTTAAAAATTAAACTTTTATGTGGCTGGGTCGTTTTAGCAAAATCTCAAACGTAGGGGGTTAAAAAAATGATTCAAAAAATAATAATAATAAAAATAATATTATATTAATATAGCATATCCACCAATTTATTTCTCACAACCAAACATATCAATATGTAACACCCATCAATTTATTCCAACCAACTAAATATATTTTTCTAAATATTCCCAATAATCTTTAAGGTAATCTATCTTTCTATTAATAATTAATATAATATTTCCAGTAATACAACATTCACTTACTCAAACGTACCTAGGAGTAGAAAACTACATGCCTTAGTATTAAGTAAAAAGCACTTCAACATTATTGGATAATTGATTTAAGGGAAGTTAAAAAGTATAGACATAGGCTATGCGAAATATTTCCAGGCCTATCAACTTTTTCCAGGAGAAATATAAAGTACAGCCGGGAGAATCGGACGCCTGGTTACAATAAGCTCAAATAGATCAAATGGCCTATTTATACAAAAGCATAGTAACTATCTCTAAAAATCACAAAAATCATTCTGTCTGGGATTTACGTTGTTGAATTCTCAAAAATAGTGTTGAATAGTATAATACTCAAAAGCAAAGATTCACAATCCATTACAAGCATAATTTCACTGTAGAACCCATGTCAACCACCATGGAAGCCATTATGAAAAACCCGATTATAACAAAACCCAAATCTGATTATCGAATCCTCCCAAGCAACCAACCATCGGCAATCTTCTATCTTCACAATGCCAAAATTACAAAACAGGCTCCATGACAAAAAATGAAAAATAAAAAATATCAAACCACCACAAACTAACTAACATTAGGGCGGCTGAGAGCATGTTTTTTTCTGTTTTGGGAGGATAGGATGGGATGGGTGGGGTGGGTCAGTTTTGTTGGGGTCAGGTTGGGAGCAGTGCGGTGGACTATGCGGCAGCTCGCGACGGTGGGGTGGGTACTGGGTAAGCAAAAATTGAAAATAAAATTTTCAATGACCTTTATCATCGTTATTTTTTTGGGTTAAATAAAGCAATCATGGGAGTACGTGGTTTCACCTTTATCATCTTACCTCCGCTTTGCAGTTTTAAGGCGGTGTTGTAGTCTTTAGATTCAATACAAAAATCTCCGGACCCGGATACTGAAGGCGATTTTGGAGATTCATTGAATAATATTTTTAGCTCTGGTTATGTTATAACTCTGCAACTATGACAAAAATTGCAGGCACGTTGCTGGAAAGAGAGAATAATAGAGGATCCAATCAGGCAAGAAGGCTCCACGATAAGAGATCATCATATTGGGATGATCTTCCGCAAGAGCTTCTTGAGATTATTTCTAAAAGTCTAAATATAGTAGAGTATCGAAACCTTGGTCGCGTTTGCAGAAGCTGGAGATTGTTTTATTCAGAATTTAAGCAGAGTTTTTTGACATCTCATTCACCACTTGTTGTTCATGCATCAGCCCAGGTTAACAAGTACTGTTATTTCTTTGACATAGCTACTGGAATGGAATACAAGAGAAAGCTGCCTCGATATATTTGGGACTTCAAGTTCTGTCTTGGTGTTTCAAGTGGGTACTTAAATCTTGTTCTGCCTCCAGACAGAAGATGTTTCAAGGGGTTGTTTATGGGTTATAAATCCTTTTACAGGACATCAAATCCAATTCCCTTGCATGCCCCAGCCTCCTTGTATTATGGATTATGATTGTGATAACCATGGCATCTTTGCTTCCTTTGGATCTCAAGGTCAAGATTTTCTTATCATGATTCTTTCTAAGTATGGCTCAAGCTTGCAGTTCCTTACTTGTATAGATAAGCAGTGGAAAGAATACCATTATGTTAACAAGGGTTGGCGTATATTGGACATAATTGTTTTTTATGGTAGGATATATGTTCTAAACAGTGATTCTCAGATTGGGATATTCAACCTGAGATGTTGTGATTTGAGGTTTTTGGAACTGAAATCTGCACCTTATATCGGCGTTCATTTTGATAAGCAGGTTAGGTTGGTGGCTTCAAATGATCAGCTATTTGTAGTTGATTCTCCTGAACTTTACAGAATCGACTTGTCAAGGATGTCCAATTGGATTTTCGTTGCCAGAATCAACTAGAATATAGTGAAGAACAACAAAACCCTAAGCCTCACGACGCAAGCGATCAGAGGGGCCAATGAGTCGGGAACCAAAGGGGTTTGGACGACGGACGATGGGGAAGGTGATGGAGGTGACCAAGGGATTCCACATCGTCAGAGACAACCCAAATCTGTCAAAAACTGAGAGGGTGCACAGTCATCAAGGGTGTTATTGAAGTAATTTGAAAATAAGATCGTTAATTTTACAATTTTAGTAATTTAGGGGTTAAAACATAATTTATTAATTTATTTGTTAAGGGCATTATGGTAATAGCATCCTCTATAACCTAAAAATTGCTAACAGTGTTATTTTAATGGTGGGAATCTATAATAAATGAAACTAGGGGTATCAAGTTGGGATTTCGCCAAACCTTGGGTGGGAATATGTCATTTAATCGTTGTAAAATAAAATCTTGCTATACTTTTTTTTTTTTTTTTCACACGTACAAAGAAATTTACAAAGATTTATTATACAAGATGATATAGTAAAAGTTTAATAGAAGAGTGAATATGATAAGTCTGACTTTTTGTATTCACTCTTTCATTTATCTCTTACCACCTCACTTATGTCTAACATTATTGGTTTTTTTTTCTTTTTTTTTTTTTACATAGTATGCACATATGGATTCTAGTTGCTTCATTGATATTATTGGGTCCATGAAGTTTCAGGTCAATATTGTATTAATATTCATATGAGGGTAATTTTGTAAAAAAAAAAAATCAAGATACTTTATTGATGTCTTCTTCGATGTTTAGGATCATTGTCTTCTTTAATCTTAGGAATATCACTTGATTTCTATATTATAATTCATTATTTTATAAGTATTAAGATTTATATTCATGTTTTTAGTAGTATTAGGATTTACATTTATGTTTCAATAGTATTAGTATTTCTTAGTTACTTTTCCTAGTAGAATTCTGATTAGCCTATTATAAACAGCTTGTTATGTTTCAAGTTCTTCATAATTATCATCAACAAAATTTATAATATTTTTCTTTTGGAATCATTTCATCATGGATTCAACATCTTCCATGGATTTACTAGAGCGTATCTAGTGCCTATCGAATTTTTGCTATGTCATTTTCAATTAATGGTGCTTTCAATATATGGTTGTGGATTCCGAGTTCTCGTTCCACATGACTCAAGAGGGTAAATGAGAATGGTTGACACATATGGGACTCAACAAGAAGATGAAGCCTTAATGGGTAACAACGAAAAGGTCATCGATTTAAAATGAACACAAAAAAATTATAAAAATAACTAATATTTTGATTCTATTTTGTATAGGGATTATGTTAAAAGTCATCAAAATGATTGAACAAACCTTTCTAAATCATATTTCATGCTAATCCAATTATTAACTAAAATCAAAGCAAACTTCGAAACCCTAAAAAATTCTAACCGGTGCTTTTTAAGAGAAGATAATCTAAAAGATCTTTAAATAAAATGAAGAAAAATTTATTTAATACAAAAAGTGATACATCATTAAATGATGATTATTTCAATACATCCATAGGTCTACAATACTGGGTGGCAGTCAATTGAAACTTTTGAGTGTATTATTCAAGGGGTCATATGTTCTATTCTTTCGGTCCCTAATAAGGGTAGTCACTAAAGGGCTTACTCAGTCGTTAACTTCAAGGTCTCAGTGTATTAGTCAAAGTGCATGCAAGCTACTTGGACACCCCCGATCATTAAAAAAAAAATTATTTTATTTACATCAAGTAAAATAATTTTTCTTTTCTTTTTCATAGTAACAAGGACCATTGTTCATTTGAGGCCCTCTCGGGCAAAAATCCTGAATCTGCCACTACCTAGAGGGATTAGTCGGCTAGTATAAACTGGATCGAAGACCAATCTACAATATATTTCACTTTTTATTGCTATTGTTGTTTGTTTTTTAAATTCATGACATATTAATCACTCTTTTATTAAACTAAAATTGAAATTTAATGACACGTGCAATTGTTTATTTTCACAGGGAAAAATAAGAGAAAATTTAACTCCCAGGCCATCCCAAGTTTCCATTTAACAAAATGGTCATCAAAATCTTTTTGATTTTTTTTGGGTTAAAAATATGTCGTGGCACACTTAAATGTAATTAAAACAGCAAAAAGGATTATAGTGAAAAGATTTAAACATTTGTGGGTTAAAGTATAATAAAGAGAAGTTGATTTAAAATTTGAAAGGCAAAACACATTTCTCTCAGCTTCCCTTTCTCACAACAGGATTCAGACGTCTTTCTCTCTCTCGTTTTTTCTTCCAATTTTTTGCAATTTCTCAATTTCTTTGCTCTTTGCATTTTTGTCATTCCTTGCCATTCCCGATTAAGTTATAATGGCTGAGATCCTTAAAGAAACAGAAAAAAACTCATCAACTCCCCAAATTGTAGGCACCACTAGGTCTACCGAAAATGGAGAAGAAGAAGTTGTGGTGGAGTAACTTCCGATGACTGAAGTTGCTCCACTAGGAGAGGAGACGGCATCGACGGAAGATATTCTATTGGTAGAACAAGGGAGGGCAAGAGTTGAAATTGAAACTGAAGATGAGGATGCCGACGCAAATTCCAAGCGACCAAGAGTAAAAGCAAAGGATCGCTTAAGCGATCTGGTATATGACAGAAGATCGCTTAAGCAATCTGGTATAAGCGATTTTAGATCGCTTAAGCGATCGTGCATCTAGGTAGAAGTTGATTCTGCTTCGTACATGATCACTTAAAGCAACCAACGTTAAAAGCAAAGGATCGCTTAAGTGATCATGCATCTGGGCACTTATTTATTGTCTTGTTCATGATCGCTTAAGCGATCGTAGATCGCTTAAGCGACCAATAATAAAAGCGAAGAATCACTTAATCGCTTAAGCAATTGTGCATCTAGCCAGAAGTTTATTCTGCCTCAGACATAATCGCTTAAGCAACCAAGGTTAAAAGCAAAGGATCGCTTAAGCGATGAATAAATCGCTTAAGCGATCGTGCGTCTGGGCACTTATTGATTCTGTCTTGTTCTTGATCACTTAAACGACCAAATGTAAAAGCATAGAATCGATTAACAAATTCCAAGCGACCAAGAGTAAAAGCAAAGGATCGCTTAAGTGATCTGGTATATGATAGAAGATCGCTTAAGTGATCTGGTATATGATAGAAGATCGCTTAAGTGATCTGGTATAAGCGATTTTAGATCGCTTAAGCGATCGTGCATCTAGGCAGAAGTTGATTTTGCTTCGGACATGATCGCTTAAGCGATTATAAATCGCTTAAAGCAACCAATGTTAAAAGCAAAGGATCGCTTAAGCGACTATGCGTCTGGGCACTTATTTATTGTCTTGTTCATGATCGCTTAAGCGATCGTAGATTGCTTAAGCGAAGAATCGCTTAAGCGATACACTAAATCGCTTAAGCAATTGTGCATCTAGGCAGAAGTTTATTCTGCCTCAGACATGATCGCTTAAGCGATTTGTAATTGCTTAAGCGACCAAGGTTAAAAGCAAAGGATCGCTTAAGTGATAGAATAAATAGCTTAAGCGATCGTGCGTCTAGGCACTTATCGATTCTGTCTTGTTCGTGATCGCTTAAGCGATCTATGATCGCCTAAGTGACCAAGTGTAAAAGCATAGAATCGCTTAAGCGATAACATAAATACAACCAGATCTCTTAAGCGACTAAGTCTAAATACACAGGATCGCTTAAGCGAGAAATGAAATCTCTTAAGCGATCCAGTGTATTTGGATTATTTTTATTGTATTTCACTAGATGGTAGCGCTAACGCTATCTTAGACATATAAGGTGTACGATTCATTCAGTGGACCATGACCATTATTATATAATTTAAATTAGTTCTTTAACGGCTATATTAAACTATATGGCGTAGAATGTTTACGTCTATATTAAACATATCAGGTGTGACGATTCGTTCAGGGGACCATGACCGTTATTTTTTAATTAAATTAGTTCTTTTATGGCTATATTAAACATATATGGTGTAGAATGTTACATGTATATTAAAATTATCAGGTGTACGATTGTTCAGTAGACCATGAAGTTATATATTTTAATTAATTTTTTACGGCTATATTAAACATATATGGTGTAAAATGTTTACACTATATTAAACATATCAGGTGTACGATTTGTTCAATAACCATGACCGTATATATTTTAATTAAATTAGTTCTTTTACGGCTATAAACACATATGGTGTAGAATGTTTACGTCTATATTAAACATATCAGGTGTACGATTCGTTCAGTGGACCATGACTGTATTATATTTAATTAAATAGTTCTTTTACGACTTATTTAAACATATATGATGTAGAATGTTTACATCTATATTAAACATATCAGGTGTACGATTTGTTCAATAGACCATGACCGTATTATATTTTAATAAATAGTTCTTTTACGGCTATATTAAACACATATAGTGTAGAATGTTTACGTCTATATTAAACATATAAGTGTACGATTCGTCAGTGGACCATGACCGTTATTATATTTAATAAATTAGTTCTTTTACGGCTATATAACATATATGGTGTAGAATGTTACAGTCTATATTAAACATATCAGGTATACGATCATTCAGTGGACCATGACCGTTATTATATTTTAATTAAATTAATTCTTTTATGGCTATTAAACAGATAAGGTGTAGAAGTTTACATCTATATTAAACATATCAGGTGTACGTTGTTAATAGACCATAACCGTTATTATATTTTAATTAAATTAGTTCTTTACAGCTATATTAAACACATATGGTGTAGAATGTTACGTCTATATTAAACATATCAGGTATACGATTCATTTAGTGGATATGACCGATATTAATTTTAATTAAATAGTTCTTTACGGCTATATTAAACATATGGTTGAGAAGTTTATGTCTATATTAAACATATCAGGGGGACGATTCATTCAGTGGACCATGACCGATATTATATTTAATAAATAGTTCTTTTACAACTATATTAAACATATAG